AATTTTCTGAAATCCGGAAATCAATAACAACAGATGTCTATTATTAAGAACTTCGAACAATGATCGCGAAACTTGCAAAGAAACAACTCCGACTCGTCAATCGTTCTTCGCTATTATTACTGGTGATGACGCAAGCTCTCATATTGCTCGATAAACTGTTTTAATGTTATAAGATCTGAACTTAGAAAATATTGGTCATCCTCTGTACTCCGCAGACCTAGCTTCAGCCGATTACTGTTTTTTCCGCAATAAGGACAATTTGCAGCAAGGAAAAAAAATTGTGCTCTGGAAGCGGTACAGAATGCGTTTATAGAATTTGTAGAGTCCAGAGTTATGTCGCATAAATGATCTTCCGTCGAGATTGTAGAAATGTACAGATAATTAGGGTAAGTAGGTACTGCGAATAAATGAATATATTTTTCTTGATAAAAGGTGTTTACGTGTTCCAATATAAAACGGCAATTTCATACTTTAACCCCTGAAGATGTTAATGTTTTTAATTGTTTTGTTGTTCGAAAACTTTTCATTAATTATTTTTTTTTGTTTTTAAATGTAACATTAGACATGTTCCTGTATCGTGGATTTTACATACATAAATTACACATGCACATCTTTTTGGCCATACCAATTTTTAAATAATATTAGGAAAAACGAGTGCCTCAAGTTTAAATTTTAAAATTGAACTATTTATTCGTTAGCAATGAAATCAAATATATTGGTAAATCCAATTGGGCATACCTTAAGCGCATAAAAAATTACGTATAACGTGATTATACGGAATTTAGTAAGAAGAAGTAGTTTAAATACATTTCGACAGCACTATCGGTTTCAACACCCTCGAAAATCATGAAAATGACACCCATGATAAAAAATTGGTACTTACTTCAGCCGCCATCTTGGATTTACATTTCGACAGCACTATTGGCTTCAACACCCTCGAAAATCATGAAAATGACACCCATGATAAAAAATTGGTACTTACTTCAGCCACCATCTTGGATTTACATTTAGACAGCACTATCGGCTTCAATACCCTCGAAAACCATGAAAATGACACCCAAGATGTAAAACTTGATATCTATTGCAGCCGCCACCTTGGATTTACATTTCGACAGTACTATCGGCATCAGCACACTCGAAAACCATGAAAACGTCACCCATGATGAAAAAATTGATATCTATTGCAGCCGCCATCTTGGTTTTACATTTCGACAGCACTATCGGTTTCAACACCCTCGAAAACCATGAAAATGACACCCATGATGAAAAAATTGGTACCTACTTCAGCCGCCATCTTGGATTTACATTCCGACAGCACTATCGGCTTCAACACCCTCGAAAACCATGAAAATGACACCCAAGATGTAAAACTTGATATCTATTGCAGCCGCCACCTTGGATTTAAATTTCGACAGTACTATCGGCATCAGCACACTCGAAAACCATGAAAACGTCACCCATGATGAAAAAATTGATATCTATTGCAGCCGCCATCTTGGTTTTACATTTCGACAGCACTATCGGTTTCAACACCCTCGAAAACCATGAAAATGACACCCATGATGAAAAAATTGGTACCTACTTCAGCCGCCATCTTGGATTTACATTCCGACAGCACTATCGGCTTCAACACCCTCGAAAACCATGAAAATGACACCCATCTTGAAAAAATTGATAACTATTGTAACTGCCATCTTGGATTTACATTTCGACAGCACTATCAGCTTCAACACCCTCGAAAACTATGAAAATGACACCCATGATGAAAAAATTGGTACCTAATTCAACCGCCATCTTGGATTTACATTTCGACAGCACTATCGGCTTCAACACCCTCGAAAACCATGAAAATGACACCCATCTTGAAAAAATTGATAACTATTGCAGCTGCCATCTTGGATTTACATTTCGACAGCACTATCGGCTTCAACACCCTAGAAAACCATGAAAATGACACCCAAGATGAAAAAATTGGTACCTACTTCAGCCGCCATCTTGGATTTACATTTCGACAGCACTATCGGCTTCAACACCCACGAAACCCATGAAAATGACACCCATGATGAAAAAATTGATATCTATTGCAACCCCCATCTTGGATTTACATTTCGACAACCCTATCGGCTTCAACTCTCTCGAAACCCATGAAAATGACACCCATGATGAAAAAATTGATACCCATTGCAGCCGCCACCTAGGATTTACATTTCGACAGCACTATTGGCTTTCACACCCGCGAAAACCATGAAAATGACACCCAAGATGAAAAACTTGATATCTATTGCAGCCGCCATCTTGGATTTACATTTCGACAGCACTATCAGCTTCAACACCCTCGAAAACTATTAAAATGACACCCATGATGAAAAAATTGGTACCTAATTCAACCGCCATCTTGGATTTACATTTCGACAGCACTATTGGCTTCAACACCCTCGAAAACCATGAAAATGACACCCATGATGAAAAAATTAATACCTATTGCAGCCGCCATGTTGGATTTACATTTCGACAGCACTATCGGCTTCAACACCCTCGAAAACCATGAAAATGACACCCAAGATGAAAAACTTGATATCTATTGCAGCCGCCATCTTGGATTTACATTTCGACAGCACTATCAGCTTCAACACCCTCGAAAACTATGAAAATGACACCCATGATGAAAAAATTGGTACCTAATTCAACCGCCATCATGGATTTACATTTCGACAGCACTATTGGCTTCAACACCCTCGAAAACCATGAAAATGACACCCATGATGAAAAAATTAATACCTATTGCAGCCGCCACCTTGGATTTACATTTTGACAGCACTATCGGCTTCAGCACCCTCGAAAACCATGAAAATGACACCCATGATGAAAAAATTTATACCTATTGCGGCCGCCATCTTGGATTTACATTTCGACAACCCTATCGGTTTCAACGCCCTCGAAAACCATGAAAATGTCACCCATGACAAAAAATTTATACTACTTACTTTTAATACGAACTACTTTTATTTATTGTGTTTTTAAAATATTGTAATAAAAAAAAATCTCTTATTATTATTATAATCAAGTATTTAAGAAATTTGGTTATTCGAATATTGTGTATTTGTACAGCGATCTTTTTGAGCCGCTGCAAACAACCGAAACAATGTCCACTCACGACGGCGACTGAAGACGAACTAAACTGCTCTGTGGCTGTAGCTCCCCATTTACAGAAATAATTTACATACAAGGCTACCAAATCAACGAAAAGTTCGCAATTTTGGAGCCGAAAAAAATTAATTATAGCTAAACAAAACAAAATTACACTGCCATTTACATTCAGTGGCTTCCCACATGATAGATGAAGAGATTAAAAATAGATTGAGTTAAACAATTGATATTTTCAAAAGTTATCGTGTTTACAAGCCACAGGGACATGATAAATCCACACCATAAGCCACTAAAACACTTTTTTTTTATTTAAAAAGAGCAATTAATCGATTTAAAAAAATATTAATAAGTTCAACAATCATTTATCTTTCTAACAATGTGCTTTTTATATCATTTATATGTATAATATGATTGCTAGATACGATTTTATTCGATAAAACGTTGGAATCTTAATTTTTACGCGATAGTAGAACATACCTTGCGCTTTCGCTTAAGGTATGCAATAGAATATAATTGGCATATTGCCACATAGGCATCACAAACAACGTGAAATCTAAAATATTGATTACAGATATAAAGACACGGATACGGATATACTGATAATAAATTTTAATTAATAGTATATTATTGGAAGGTCAAACCAGATTTAAATTTAGATAGGGACTGATGGGGAACAAGTACCTAACCTACCCGTACCCGTTGGTAGGAATCTTTTACGGTAAGATCGAATACTCTTCGAGAATAAAGACGATCACCATACAACAAAAGCCGAAAAACAAAAGTTGTTGTTTTAGCATAAATGTTGGTCCCGGATGTCCTTACAACCCATGGCCTGTGGCATGGTAACCAAAAGTTGATAATATAATGTCTATATACATAAGTGGTTTTGGCAATCAATCAAAAATAGCGTCAATCATTTCTGTATATATGAATAATCAGATTACATATTAGCTTAGGTAAAGCAAATAGCGAACTAATAAGTGTTTTTGTAACAAGTTATTGAACTGTTTTGTTTTTCCATAGAACATTTATTATTGAAAATTTGTAGAATCGGTATATTGGAAAAGTCAAAGTGGACTCTGTTGTCAAATGTTTGTAAATGTAAATAATAAGGTAATAAAATTATGCTAGAGTGAGAAACATTAAATAAGGCTCTATTGGTCAAAAAGTTAACATTTAGGCCGGCCGCATACATACGGAATTCCGTTTCGAGATTCCGTTTCGGAATTCCGAACGGGTCGGCCACACACATACGGAATCCCGTTTTGCCCGCAAAATGTCGAACGGAAAACGACCGTACGTGTGTGGCGGGTCATAGATTTTATATGGACTTGCTGCTTTCGGGATTCCGAATCGGAATATCGAAACGGAATCCCGAAACGGAATTCCGTATGTATGTGGCGAGCCTTAGCGTGTGATTAGATCAACTTATTCGCACACACGAAAATTATTCTTAAAAAGACTTTTAAAGTTGGCCTCCCCTCATTTCTGAGATAGTTTTAGGACAAGGAAGTGTCCGCCGCGCTGCCCCAATGAGTGTTGGCGAACTTCACATGCCTTCGAAATTTTTTTTTTCTTATTTATCAGATATTTAGGTTTCCTCACGATGTTTTCCTTCACTGCCGAGCATGTGGTAAATCAGCACTTAAAATTGCAATTAACAATTTCATTGGTGCCGGCGGGGATCGAACCCGGGTTGTTCGCGTACTGTGAAATTTTCAGCGAGCGCTAACCATCTGAGCTACCACGGCTCCCGGCTTATTTATATAAATAAATTGTATGTACTGAATTTCACTACGAAATTATATTTTATTCACCCACGTCCCCAACAATAGGTATATAATGCCAAATACCTGATTGTTCAGTCGATATTGATTTATTCCTTTCGTATTCCATTCTTCTCTTACGGACAACCTAGAAAAATTAAAAAATTATTCGTTTACACGCGATATTACATCGGAGGTGGGCATAAGCTAGACTTGAGTTGGAATGCCTAATGCTCAAATTCAGTCTTTATATGTAAAAAAATAATAACCTAGGGACAAATACAGTTCGGACTGATTTTACCTATTAAAACTGACGAAATCATTATCCTATATTCCCCTGTTTCCTCTTCTAAAACTAGACCGTATTTAGTGTTTTAAAAAAATAAGAAGTATTGTGGTTTGGTTTTAAAATACACCACAAAATAAGAAGTATTTGCTGAATGTCTTACGGCTTTATAACTGGGCCGTTAGTAAGTTTAGATGATTCCTTCTTCCTAGTTTTTAAAATTAATTACTTTATTATTGATAAAAATCCTTAGGAACACGGCAGTATGTAGTATATCGTAAAAAATATCTGTGGCAGTGTCACTACCCAGAGTTTGTATGGAATAACGGATCTTAGATATCCTCAAGTAATAATGCCTTTTGTATTTTTATAGGATAATGGTGACGAACGAGCACACATTCTACAGATGGTAAGAGGTTGCTGTGGCCCATAGATTTCTACATCTATCCTCGATGACAAATCAAAACACAGATGCGTTGTCACCCGTGAGGACTAAGCTGGAATGCCTCGTTTCCAGTAAAGTGTCTCCGGTTCGCTACACTCACCATACGACACACAGCAGCGTTTAGCTGCTATTTTACGCTGGTATTCTGTGAGAGCGTAGTCCCTCCCCGGTCAAGCCGACCTATTCTTGCTACAACTATACCAGTAATATAGCAGCAGCATGGCTCTACCAAGTAAAGATGACATTAATATTTAAAGATTGCATCGTAAAAAATATAATTGAGTGTATGTTATCAAAAAGTGTCATTAGAGGAAACGGAGGAATACGTTTGTATGGACTAAACGCTACCCGGATACCCTCTAGTAATGCCTTTTCTCTACCGACTTCAAAAAGGAGGAGGTACTTAATTCGATAGTATGTTCTTGTTTTCCTTTTTTTATGTGTGTTACCTCATAACTTTTTTTCTGGGTTAACCGATTTCGATGATTTTTATTTGAAAGCTGGTGCTTCTTATGTGGTTCCATACAAATTTGATCAAGGTCTGACCAATAGCTTTTGAGTTATACTTTTTAATTTATATTGAAGTCGGTTGTATACAATTTTAAATTTTCAACTATGTATTTTGTTAGTAGATGTTAGCATTATTATCTATTGATTAGTAAATATTTAGGAAAGTTACCTCGTCCGTAAACTTGTGAGTGTATGCAATATTTTCTCTTAATTGTTTCGCGTAGGGTGTCAAATTAAATAGGCAATCCGGTTGTAGCCACAATTTGAAAAAGCGCATATTTAGTATTGTCATAACAGTGTGACGAGCACGCAGGTACGGGGAATCTGTTGAATGTTGTACGTCCATCTCTTCACCCATCGCCGTTTCTATTGTAAGAATATCAGCAAGTAAAGAGTTTGCTTCTGAACATATTTTACTGTAGGCTATTGACATACATTAGCACTGAATAGCATGTATTATTGTGATTTTCATTTTCATCAAGAAAGTATGAAACATGTCGCAATAAGTATAATATATAAATATTTTGTTATTTGAAATCACTTTGATGTCTATAGAAAATATTCAAATCGTCAACAGCTGCATATTTTATTTTAAGTAAATTACTATAGATCATAAAATATAGGAGTATTTTTTTTTAATTTTCGTTATATAAACGTAGTAACTTATCTAGCAATACTGGCAAGATTTTATTATTACAAGTATTTACCTACTTAAGTACTAGCCATGCCGGCAAGGTTTATTTGAAGTGTTACGGTACAAACAACACGAACACTTTTCGCAAGTGTAGGAAAATTATATGTAATGTATTGAAATAAATAAAAATCAAAATATTTTACTAATATTTATAAATTATAGAATATTGAGAAGTTCCTGCACTTACCAAAAACAATATCTAAAGTACAAGCAGTCACATATTGGAGAACATCAAAATATTCCTTGTTAACCTCTTTACTGAGCCTCTCAACAAGAATTTCAGCTCGTTCCCCGATCACACCCAAATATTCTTCTATCACTTTGTTATGGAATATGGGCAGTAAAACTTTTCTATGAGACTTCCATAGATTCACTGAAATCAATATTATTATTTAGTATGTATCTGTATAATTCTTATCACCGCGGTTATCTTTCTAGAATGAGTGATTATGAGAGAAATGGCCACGGATTTATAATTTCATCCATTCATGGACTTCTCCATAGATTGCGTCATATTTTCCATAGTTGCATACTTGGCAGGTGGATTAGCAACTGCAGTTTTTACCATTTGGAGCTGTTATCAGGAAGATTCTGCAGCCCATCTCCTGTTTTAGTTTCAATCTGTCGCATCTTTCGACGCCCGGGATTGATATGGGACAGTTGAGATTATAAGAAATACTTAATTAGAAATGGCAGACATATAACCACAGGATTGAACCATTTCAATTTATAGTATAATTAAATCACCAAATAATTGTTTAAAGACGGAAGTCCTTCACTGCTGGACGTCTTTCTGGGAGATAGAACAGATGAAACCCGCAACTTATAAATCGATGGCTTACTAGTAAAACCATTTCTCTGTCAATTATGCCAAATGGAGAAAACAGCTTCCTAAAGTTTGAAAATTACGAATCTTTAGTTGACGTTTTTTATGTAATAGATATAATGTAAAAGTAGTTATAAACGCGTATCTAAATGGAAAGAAATGAGCTTAACGACTGGGAACACTTATTCGGTTTTTCCTGCTAAAGAATGGTAAATAATATTTTGTGATCGGTTTCTAGTAAAAACAATTAAAAGTCCATAACTGTTTCATCAATTAAGTATTTTAGAACTAATGTTTATAGTTATATAAGTTATGGAATTCTAACATGTCATGTTGACATAGTAATAAATAAAATGTCTGGAACCAATTAAGCCTTAAACTGTTTAACGTGGACATTTTTTAACTTTAGCATGCACGATAATGTCACGAAATATCAAAATAAATAATAGTCATATCAAATTGTTGGTTTTAACAGAAAATTGAGAAAACAAACTAATTCGGAAGTGTAATTTAACTCATTTTTACAAAAAATTGCAGATTACTGATTTTACAAGTAAACTCTCAAAATTATGATGAAGCTTGTACGATGGGAAACAAGATTAAAAAGTTAAAAAATACTTACATGGAGCTATAAAAAGACCACGACCGAGCCACGGTCTCAGAAAACGATATACTCTGTCCTTATCTAAGCAGTTCTCCAAAACAATTTTTGCATCTTCCGCGTTGCCAATAGCTGTGGTAACAATTTTATATTTAGAACATTTTAAAAGTTACAGCCTAAATATGTCTCACGCCTAGGTAGCGACCCTCACTTGTCGGCCGTGCTTGTTGGCGGACTCCACATGTTATCGAAATATTTTTAAAAATTCAGGCTTTCCCACAATGTTATTGGATATTTAAAAAATTAGTAGTGCTGGCAGGGATGGAATTTTGGTTGCCCGCTTAGTAAGCGTAGAGAATATATCATTATCTTCGAGAGTTTAACCCCTGAGCTATCACAGTAATTACATTAAAAAGTGTGGGTGTTCCATATGCAGTAAAAACGCTCAATATATCTATTTAATGCAGATAATAGAATTAGTAGGTCTCTTTTTTCCATAATAGGATAGGTACCGTAAAACGGGGTTACTTTGCGAACTGGGGTAACTTTGATGATAGCTAAACTTGGTAAGTTTTTTCGGATTTAATGCGTGATACTGAACGCAACCAAAATTTTGTTTGTTCTGTTGGCCAGACTGACATGTCAGCCATATTTTGCCGAAGCGTCGACTATTAGCTGTTGTCAGAAGCAAATAAAAATAATTGTTAAACTTTAGTGTAAAATAGCTTTAAAAAATTCGTGTGAATAACTTCAGTGGCACAACCGTAAGTATTATTGTTTGGTTTTTAGTGTTTCTCTGTTTTAATTGTACGTTTCTTTAAGATTAAGAACATGTTTGCATTTTTTGTTTACGGCCGCCATTTTATTTTCCATGAACACTTTGGTTTACCGGGGTTACATTGATAGAGTATACGAGGCGACTTTGATAGTTATCAATTTTACCCCAATGGTGGTTGTTCCCAATCTTATAGGAGTAATGTATAGGTTATCAATTTAACCTCTATTTCTTGTTTTGTTTTAGCTGCCTCATGGTTCGCACGTATAAAAAGACAGCGGGTACTCGCAATTACAAAAATTATACAGAGGAGATAATGGAAGAAGCAATAGAGAAAATCACCAACGACGAATTGTCTATTAATGCTGCTTCACTTCAATATAAAATTCCGTATGGAACACTTTATAATAAATATAAAGGATTACACGGAAAAACGCCTGGTGGCCAACCTGTTTTCACGCATCAAGAGGAATTAGCAATTTTACGAGCTGCGGCTACATGTGGTGATTGGGGGTTTCCTCTTACATTGTTTGACCTTCGAATGTTCGCTAAGGCTCATTTAGATCGACAGGGAAAGATTATAGAACGGTTTTCAAATAACCTGCCTGGTGTCGAATGGGCCATTAGTGTCCTGAAGCGTCATAAGCACTCCTATGGTCAAAGACTATCCACTAATATCAAAAGGTCCAGAGCGACTGTCGGCCGGGAGTCATTAAATAAGTATTTCGACAACCTTTACTCTGAGATAGAAAATGTACCACCGTCCAATATATTCAACTATGACGAATCAAATATGGCAGACGATCCTGGCAAAAAAAAATGTGTATATAGAAGAGGAGTAAAATACCCTGAGAAAGTAATGAACTATTCGAAGAGTTCTACTACAGTTATGATTTGTGGTTCTGCAGACGGCACATTATTGCCGCCATATATAATTTACAAAAGTACTCACCTGTACGATACATGGCAAGAGAGAGGTATTGTAGGTAAACCATGCTGTGAAAAGCCGTGCTGTAGCCGGGGATGTCGGTATAATAGAACAACTAGTGGATGGATAGACACACCAACATTTAGGGATTGGTTCATGAATTGTTTTTTGCCTCATGCCAAAAGACTAGACGGGAAAAAGGTGTTGATAGGTGATAATCTATCGTCTCACATTGACAACGATGTATTAGTTGCATGTGAAATAAATAACATCAGTTTTATATGTTTGGTGCCAAATTCAACCCATCTAACCCAGCCACTCGATGTCGGCTTCTTTCGTCCTTTAAAGATTGCATGGCGACAAACGCTCGAAGACTGGAAAAAAGCCAATTTACGAACTATATCTATACCTAAGGAGTCCTTCCCACATCTGTTGAAAAAGACAATAATTAATATGGACCAAAAGCCACCAAAAAATGATAAAGAGGCTTGCACAGAATTGTCAGCTGTGAAAAGAAATTTGGTGAGCAGTTTTAGGGCTACTGGTATCTCTCCTTTTGATAGGAACAGGGTGTTAAACAAATTGCCACCTGAGTCGCCTTCTCCTGAAATCGAAACTGGCGTTCGAGATTCCTTAACAGAGTTTTTAAGAGAACAAAGATTTAGGAATGAATCACAGCCACGAAGGAAGAGGACCAGACTACAAATTGAACCTGGTAAAAGTATATCGACACTTAATGAAACATCTTGCCCCACAAATCAAGAAGTTGATGTAGTTGAGGTCCAACACACCTCAGAGCGAAATGATAATCGCGTACAAACTGAATCAATATCGATGCAAATTCCTCTTTCTGTTATCAGCGAGCCATCCACAAGCTATAGAACTGGTTACAAGGACACCAATGATAATATTACCGATTGTGAGTCTGATAATGAAAATATAGCACCGAATTATACTAGAAATACCTCAACAGATTTGGCACAAAATCCCGCAATAGGGCAGTTTATTTTAGCAAAGTTTGGATCACAAAAGGGAAAAAAGACATATCATTATGTATGTTCTATTGAAGATATCATTGACACTAAACTTGTTGTTCAAGGTTATAAGTCCCAAAAAAAAACCAAAACTATTTTTAAGGAAGTTCCTAAAGATTTATCAATTATTGAAATTAGTGACATTATTACTTACCTGCCTAAACCGAAATATATCAATGAATGCTACTCGTTCCCCAATGATGTGATGATCAAAGAATTGTAGATTTTATTATCTATATTTAACTAACCTTTTGAAATCATTTAACATGTTGATTTTTAAGTTTTTATTTTATAAAATAGGTTTATATAATTATAAGACTGTTGTTTTAAGTGATAAAAATTATGCATGTCGAAAGTAAATGTTTAGACTGATTAATGTTAGGTTGCTGTTACTTAATTTTCTTAAATAATAATAAAAAAATATTCGGCTTATCTTGGTTGTTTACACTGTAATATACCCACATATCAAATTCACCCCTTGACTCAAAGTAGCCCCAAAAATTTTCAAAACGCAATATTTTCTAAACTATAGCTTCTAAATTATTTTTTCTTATTGATTTTTGTTATGTATTGGGGTGACTCTGCGATGAATTAAAAAATGAGTACCATATCAAAGTAGCCCCATTTTCAATAAAACTTTGATAAGCAGGTTTTTATGTTTTTTCTAAATAATTATTTACAAATTTATATTTTTTTGTTGTAATAATTAATTTGCGTAGTGAGTCTTCACTACAGTATTTTTTTTAACATTTTATCGTTTAAATTGCAAGCGTGGGATCCATTTGAAGTTTAAAATTAATCAATCTCACCCCGTTTTACGGTATACAGTTTAAATTATTTATCCTAACCCAAACTTTTCCCCATTGATATTTTTGCCATCTATGTAACCTCATTTTTATTTTCTCCGAGCAAAGCAAGATCATCTATTATAGCCTTAAAATATTTTTTAAATTATACTAAAATAGGTATATTTTTTGTATAAAATTAAACTGGTATACTTAGTAAAGTAATTAAATCATAAAATTAATTAAATGATCGTGTATCTTACCCACGTATAACTTCGGACCGAGCCATATTTTAACCGCGCCCTTGTTTTTATAACATATTTGTGCTATGTCTTCAATATTCTTAACAACTTCTGCAAATAAGATTGAATTTGTAAGTCAGTTGCTGGGTCAGTGTACGCTGTTAGATGGTAGTATAAGAAAATCCATCACCGTATACCTATATCATCCCGTTGGTATTTTAAGAGTCCATGTTAGTAATAAGATATTATATCAGAATTGAAATTCCAGTAGAATATGTCAGAAGAAATACCCAAATAGACAACGAGGAGCAAGGTCGAAAATGCGAGAGGAGCAGCAACGCTGGCGGTGTGGCGATCGCAATACTGGTCTCGCATTTGTCACATGTGTAGCGATTATGGCATTGCATCATTACCACGGAATCACAGATAGCCCCTTTTAAGCAGTGGACTGTATTCGTATTGATATAATAAAGAAAAATGAAGTAAGAACGTGAAACGAGGAGCATTGATGAAATATATAAAAAATTCCGACAAGCGAATATTGAAAAGCCTGCAATCTCAAATAAACAATTTGAATATTTTTTTTAAATCGACAGCAAAAATCAAAAGGTATAAAATAAATTCCACATGATAGCAACTGAAGTCAGTAGTCAGTACTAACACAGTGCATCGAAGAAATAAAGTCTCGACTTCAGTAGCTAATATGTGGAAATTATTTATTTTAATTAATTTTTCAATTTACTTAGGCCAGTAAGCTTGTAATTGATGGGGGAGGCCTCTGTTCAACTGTGAACTTTTATAGGCTGTATTGAATGGATGGAAACCAGTACTTGATTATAATCCTACCGGGTGGTAAGTGGAGTTGCAGCCCTAGACGATAAATCGCACTGTTTTAGCGAAACAAAAGTATTCTCTCTTGTCGTGAAGACATCCACATTGTAATTGAAAAGAAAGGTAGACGCTGCCTTTATTCCATTCCTTTGCTAGCGATTCCGAAAGACGAAGCAAACCGCTTGGTTCGAATGCGGATGATGCGGAGGAATTAAAACCTGTAATTCCTGCACATACTTTCGAAATGCTTCTTATATATAAGCTACAGGCTGATCAGATTGTTTTCTACGGGAAAAATTTAAAGAAATAAATATATTAACTTTACCCTCTTATTATATTTACGATAATTTAATGTATACCTACACAAACATAATATACCAGTTTTTCGACCACACAGAGTTAGTAATTTATTCGTGGGGCAATGTATACCATATTACAACAAACTTCCAGAAAATATACAAGGTCTCTCTATTACCAACTTTTAGTATTTTACTAAACAAAAAGTATATAAAAAGGTTATTATAATATAAATTAAAATATGGTTGATAATAACTCCTGGGAATGAGGTGGACGCGTACAATATTTTTTGTACTTAAGTAGTTTGTACAACAAAAAAAATTTTACTTTGAAAAAAAAAGGTCCTATTGGATTTCTTACTGGTTCTTCCCAGGACAGAGTCTTTTCCGAACCCGTAGATAAAAAAGTAAGTATGTACTTGTAAATGTATATTGAATAAAAATTATTCTATTCTATTTTAAACAAATCAGGATAGCGGTAGCCAGATAACGAATAAGCCTCTTAGCATGCCCTTCCACTGAGTCCAACGCTTCTAACTAGCTTTTTGCAGCACTAGCCCCAATGTGACAGTACATCATTTGTCAAGTCAAATTTTACTTTTTATCAAAACTTTAATATGATCACTCTTTTGAGTAAAATAAGAATAATCACAAGATCAAGGTAACAACTAGAATGTCATCTAGTCACATTTAAAACATCATTCCCTATTTTTCCATCCTTAGGGTTAGGATTTTTCTTTGATTTTTTTTGGGTCATCCTGGAAATATAACCTGCAGACATCATTTTAACCTATTTAATAAAAAATAATCAATAAATCGATACAGCCGTTTTCAACAAATTGAATTTTTTTTTATTGCAACAAAAACAATTTATATATATCAAAACCTAGCTCCTGTAAAAGGTTAACCGAAGCACAGAACAGAGGCTAGTAACAGAAGCTAGTTCCTTCCTATATTTTAAATCAAGTGAACATAGTATTATGTGATAAAAACATACGAATCGAATACATTTATAGAATCTCCTACTTTGTATTTTGACTCGGTTAAATGGAAGCACTTTTTAATTTTTGGCACAGACTAAATAATAGTACTACCTCTTTTTGCTTATAAGTTTTTAAAATGTAAGTGAAAATGGTAGCTAACAAAAAAAATGTTATAGATCCTAAATAATTGTCATTGAAAATGAAAAATGATTAGAGAAACTTACATTACAAAAATTTCAAAGACCTAATCAACGATACTCCAATTTTTATTTATTTATTTATTTGCATTGTGTTTGAAATTATTTAGTGAATTGATATTTTTGAATTGATATAGTTCGTCGACTTTCATTTTTTCTTTTTAATCATATGGCTTCTGGTATTCAACAATAATCAAAATTCAATATAGTGGACATATTTACCCATTTATTAATTAACTTTTGTCTCCTTTTTATTTCCTTTTTAGGCTGTCTGGAAGAAATTGCTATATAGCAATAAGGCCGCGTTTAGTTTTTACTGTATTGCACACATTGAAACGCGATGCTTAGGTGTAGTGTTCTATCATCAGTATCACCAAGTCAAAAACTCACGATCCACTCAACTTAAATCACTTCCATCAGCCTTATATTCCACTTACATAATAAAAAAGTTCACCAATATCAAGAGATTTCAATTAATACTTCTGATGTAGTTATAAGATTATTTATTTCGATTATTATAAAAAAAAAGTTAATTGAAAATAATTTCACTTGGACGTCAGTTGGTCGGTATGGATGTGAACAATATATCTTTCGAAAAACTGAAATTATCACTTTGATTTTTTTATTAGATTTAGATTTTAATTCTTAGGAAGCCTTCTGAATTTCACTACTGTAAACCATCCCGTTCGAGTGTGCACTTTTGGATATTTCAATTTTTTTAAATTGTATCACTAGATTGTTATTTGTGGTCCTTGGGAGAGTCCTATGTTCAGCAGTGGACCTTTGAGGGGGCTGTAATGATAATGACGAATATTAAAGAGCTAATTTGTCACTTACTTTCACCGTCTCCTAAAAATATCATAGCATTTCCCAGAACAGGCAAGCAGGGTGGAACTGGCAGTGATGCGGTAGCGCGATCCAAACGCTTCGCATTAGCTCTCCAATGTGCCAAATATAAGCACAGGATCACCACCAGAACAACCAAAATTATCATGGCTCTGGTTTAATATAGTAAAAACCTGTAGGAACAAAAATATTAAAAATCGAAGAAAACTATAAGGAGACTAGAAAATCAGTAACACTGAAGTGGCAATGGGCCGGCCATGTCGTTTGAAGAACTAATAACCGTTGGGAAAGAAAAATTGTGCAGTGGCAGTCTCGAACTGATAAACGATGTGTTGGAAGCCTCCCACTAGATGGAGTGACGACCTGGTGAAAGAGGCAAAAGTCGATGGACCGTACTTTGTGGTATTCCTTGGGGGAGGTTTATGTTCAGTAGCGAATTTATGATGGGCTATAATAATAATAATAATAATAATGTCCTCCAGACCGAATTTCGGCCATGGCGGCCAGTCTCAACGGAGACTAGCCATCGGCGCAGGACAGGATTATAGTGCCCAAGTGTATGCGCAAGCACAGGTGCACTCTCTATTCTCTCACTCTTATAGCCCGATGGGACGGTAAGCCGACACAACCGGAGAGAGATCAGGCGCAGGACCAACGGCTTTACGTGCTTTCCGAGGCAAGGGGGTGAAACATCGCCAACTTCCTAACTCCGGGCAGCTACTGAGAATTTCTTGACGGAAAAACTCAATAACTGTTTTTTTGGTCCGACCCGGGATTCGAACCCGGTACTTCATGATCAGCAGTCTCACTACTACTACAACCACTAGACCAACGAGGCAGTCATAATAATGATGATGATAACGCCCCGATAATGATATTTCCCCAGGAGTAGGCGGATATAATGGTCATTTACATGCATTAAAATGGTAATACTTATATATATATATATCATAAGGTTTTGTTTTATGTAAAGTGTTTTTGGGATCAATAAATTATTATTATTATTATTTTTATTTAAAGTGTTTACATTATCTCAGTTTGTTTTTAACAAAACTGGATTAATGGTTACTACCACGGGACTAAGCCAAGTGGGTACCATGAACGTGTTTTGTTATGGGTAGTTATCTGTTGAAATAAATTTTCTAACTATTCTACAAGTATTAAGTAAAACTGCTTTTTGCAATTGAATATATGTAAGTTTTGGTAGATCAAGAGTTTTTAATGATTGATGAAGCGCTTTTGGTATGACACCAGTTGTAGAGAGGACTATAGGTACTATAATGGCATTATGTAAGCCCCACATTCTAATAATTTCATGTTTTAAATCAATGTATTTGGAAATTTTTTCATTAATTGTAGTCTGTAGGTTATGTGAATTAGGTATAGCAATGTCAATAATAAAAGCAGATTTATTCACTTTGTCTATTAATGTTATATCCGGTCTATTATAGTGTATAGTTTTGTCGGTAAGTATGGCTCTGTCAAAATACATTTTGTGAGTAGTATTTTCAAGGACTATTTCAGGTTTATATTTATAGTATACTTGAGTAGGTTGGTCAGTTAGTTTCCACTTAAGGGCAAGTTTCTGGTGGATGATATTGGCTACTTGATCATGCCGATACTTATAATCTGTCTGAACGATCGCTTTACAAGCACCAGTGATGTGTTGGATTGTTTCAGAAGCATTAAAACAACGTCTACATGTGTCGGCGTGGAGATTTTTTATTTTAATGATGTGCTTTTGATAATTACGTGTTTCTATGACTTGGTCCTGAATTGCGCACATAAAACCCTCAGTCTCAGGGAAAAACTCACCACGTTGAAGCCAAGCGTTCGACGCTAATTTGTCTACGGTAGGTTGGTTCAACTCTTGGCGATGTCTTCCATGTAGAGACTTTTGAGTCCATATGTCAATTTTTGTGTTATTATCTGTAAGTACCTCATTTTTTTGCAATGTTTTATCATACATATTAAGCGGTGTCAATTTATGATCGTTCTGTACTATAGCATTGTGTAGTGTTGACATTGTAGTTTTATGATAAAAGTAATTTCTGAGTGTTGTTATTTGTCTGTTATGTAAGTTAACTATGTCTATTACACCTCTTCCTCCTTCATTTCGTGGTAATGTTAGTCTTTGTATACACGATCTTGGATGGTGTTTACGGTGCTTCGTAAGAGATGTATTAATTGTGCGTTGTAGTTGTTTCAGTTCAGTTTTGGACCAGTGTATTATGCCAAAAGAATAAGTTAGTATAGGAATTGCAAATGTGTTAATAGCTTTAAATATATTTTTAGAATTTAATTGAGATGTTAATACTAAGCGAAGTCTATATCGGAACTCATCTGTTAATGTATTTTTAATTTCTTTGTGGTGAATTTGTTTCGACTGATTATATCCTAAATACTTATACACTCCATTCTCTTCTAAAGATTTGATTTGCTGTCCTGTTTGCAATTGGTGATTGTGTTCATAATGCTGTCCAGCTCTAACCGAATTGATGTTGCACTTATCAATACCAAATTCCATTCCAATATCCCGTGAGAATGTTTCCGTTAATTTAACTAACTGCTCTAATTCATCTTGATTAGTAGCATATAGCTTAAGATCGTCCATATACAGAAGATGACTAAGTTTTTTTTCTTGTTTATTTGTATGTAGATGATCTAGTGTTGTATGGTATTGTAACGGGTAACCTATATTTTTTGAGTTTAACATTTTTGATAAGGGGTTTATTGCAAGACAGAACCAGAGAGGACTAAGTGCATCTCCTTGAAATATGCCTCTCCTTATTCTAATATAATCTGTTTCTATCATGCCATCTAGTGTGTCAAGTTTAAGTTTCGTTGTCCAATTGGTCATGGCAGCTTGTAAGAATTGTATTATGTTTGGGTGTATTTTATATATTTCTAAAATGTTTAATAACCAAGTGTGCGGGATTGAGTCATAAGCTTTCTTATAATCAATATACATGCTAAATAAATCTTTTCTTTTTAGTTGTACCTGTTTTAAAATTACTGCATCTATTGTGAGCTGTTCTTTGCAACCCTGACTAAATTTCCGACAGCCTTTTTGTTCTTCTGACAATATGTTGTTAGTCTCTATATGTTCATAAATGGTTTCGGTTAAGCAAGATGTAATTATTTTGTACAATGTTTGTAAACATGTGATAGGTCTGTATTTTGCAGGGTTGTCAAGATTGCTAGGATCTTTTGGTATCATATACGTTATTCCTGAAGTAATGTATTGCGGCATGGTATGCGGGCTTTCGATGAATTTATTTACAAAATTAAACAGAATCGGGTGGGTTGTTGTGAACTTCTTATACCAATAGTTATGTATATTATCTGATCCAGGTGATTTCCAATTATGCAGTTTTTTAATTACTTTTTGGAAAGTGTCTATTTTGATGTGTTGAAATTGCATGGGTTTTATCTGTGATGTGTCTATTTGATTTTTGATCCAATCCGCTTCTGTATTATAATGTTTAGGTTCCACCCATATTGTAGACCAATAATTTTGTAATTCTCTAGGTAAGGGCAAATTATTTTCGGAATCTTTTGAGTTGCTGATTTTATTTGTTACAGGGTTTTTTATATTTCGGTAGAAAAGCTTTTCATTTGAACAAAATAGCCTGTTTTGACTTTTTCGTAGAGAGCATGCTTTATATCTTTTTAACCGACTACTAGTAAGTTTAAGTTTTTGTTTAAGTGTGTCTAAAAAGTGTTCGTGTTTAATGTTATGTTCTTCGTGGACGGAATGAGTTTTATATTGCTCAAATATAGCATTTACGTGTTTAATCAATTTATTACCTCTGTTTCCATTGATATATTGTGTTAGTCTTGCAATCTTTGCTCTTAATTCACTAACTTTGTATTCTAATCTTTGTTCCCACTTTGGTTTATTATATTTCTTTTGTTTACCCTTTCCTAGAGGGTTATCAACTTGTACAGGTATTTCGATTTTAGCTCCGTTGAGCTTAGCTGAAGTCCACGCTGCACAGTATACTAAATCCTGAAATGTTTTAAATTCAATATCGCTGTTAATGTATTCTGGCAACAAAATATTATTCACATAGGCGACTATCTTACTTAATTTTTTTGATGACCTCTGCTTTGGTATAAATTGCCTTTCAGTTGGTTTTGTATTAGCATAAAATTCTAAAGCTTTTGCAAACATTTCATCTATAGCAATTATCTTTTCTCTGTAATTTAAATTTTCATTTTCATTTTCTGTGTGGTTTTCTGCATTTAAATGTAAACTTTCTGTATCTGTTTCTTCGTTGTTTGGGATACTTATCTGAAGCATTGAGTTATCATTGGCTTGTATATCGTTATATTGTTTTTGCAAGTCATTCTTAATTAATTCTAAGCGGTCAACACTTAAATATTTGTTCTGTAAAATTAATCGTCTTTGGTCAGCGATCCGTTGCTCTGTCAAATGAGTTAAATGGGGGAATTGTTTTATAAACTCTTGGTGTAAGAGTTTCCTATATGCTATTTTATTTTTCTCACACTGAGTTATTTTATAGTAAATTCTTATTATAGCTTCATTGTATTCGTCTGTCCATTTCATACGTTGTTGTGTTTGTAAAGGGTGGGTATTAGTATGACGATTGTTCTGTGTAACAGAGATGGATTGGGGAAATGTAGTCTGTAAGTTTGATTGCACTTCAACATAAATTTTGTTAACTATTTCTTGGGACAAAAGTTTATTATTCATTATTGCCCTACGCTGATCTCCTAATCTTTGACGAGTTACCTGCATATCTGGGAATCGTTCTATGAATTTCATGTGTAATGGTTGTAAATAACCTTTAGTGTCAGTCTCCATCATTGTTAAATAGAGGTAAGTACGCAATATGAATTCATTCATTTCAGAAGTCCATTTCTTACGCGTATTACGTTTACTGATGGTGGGCACAGGTTCCATAACAGGAGTTATATTCTGTGCATCATCCTTCAGCAATTGGCTACTTGATGATGATGAGGAAGGTAAAGACTGGTTTAAAGTGTATGGCTTTGATTTCTGCCCATCATTTTCGGGGGTATATAAACTATCAGTATCACTAAGAGTATCGGTGTCCGTAGATATAGCTTGAGTCGTTTGACGGGAAATCTTCCTCGCCCGGAGATTGTATGCGCCCCAAGACACAGCACCATCTCGGCTTCCGTCAGAGTCGATATGGTTACTGGATCTGCCGGGAACTGGGGGCCGTAGTTTACGTCGTGCACTCATATTTTTGTTCAGCCTGGTTTGGGATCGTTAGTTTGGAAAAGGGTCTTTAAATATTAATAGGCAGATAGATAATCCTGGCTTATTATTGCTACACAGTATAGTTGTTCTGACTGCAGTTAAGTACATGCCTTTCCCTTAAGCCCCCCCACCACGACAAGGTGATCCCATGGGGGGGTTATTATTATTATTATTATTATATTCGTCTAATAGTCTAATATTTAACCTATATAATATCAAAAGACATAAAAATAGATAAAAGATTATTTGAGAGATACTTGAGTGATAAAGAGATAGTTGAGTAAGGGCAAATTTTTCAATGGTCAGATTATTAATTTATATTAATTTATACACATCAGAAAAAGTTTGTGATCACTAGCAAAAGCTGATATATTTTTAAAACTTTTAACTTTATCACGATAAAGTGTGTACGTTATATATTTTTTAAATAGAAACAAACTGAAATTAAAAAAAAAAATAAAAATCTTTTTAGGGTTCCGTAGCCAAACGGCAAAAAACAGAACCCTTATGGATTTGTTATGTCTGTCTGTCCATCCGTATGTCACAGCCACTTTTTTCCGAAACTATAAGAACTATGCTGTTGAAACTTGGTAAGTAGATGTATTCTGTGAACCGCATTAAGATTTTCACACAAAAATAGAAGAAAAAAAACAATAAATTTTGGGGGTTCCCCATATTTAGAACTGAAACTCAAAAAAGTTTTTTTCATCAAACCCATACGTGTGGGGTATCTATGGATAGGTCTTCTTGGGCGAGTCCGACTTGCACTTGGTCGCTTTTTTATTATAAGAAAATTGAGTACCTAATTCAATCCTAATGTAATTGTAACAGAAATTTGATGGAAAGAAAAAGATTTCGTCGGCTCGGCTCTTCGGACCATTGTCTGATCCGGAGTGTGGTGCCACTCACGCTCCCCTCGCGGTTGCGTTCTGCGGGTTGCGGCAGTGTTTGGCATTACAGGTCGGCGGATTGGGACGGAATGCGGTCATTCTTTGCATCCTACCCATGGCGGGCTTGCTTCTCGCCTAATGATCCCAGCGGTGTTGCTTAACCAAACTTATACAACAATTTAATTAATACAATATAACTCCTCCCCTGGCTCGAATACACATGCTGAGGATCATGTTATTCTGATTCGCGATTCGTCAATGAAGACAGTTTTTCCGAATGTTTTCCTTCTCATCGTTTTCATTTTTCCGTAACCTAACCCACTGAAAGCTGACGTTGTTGTGAATTCAGAGGAGCTCGCCAAGAATGCTCTCATAGAAGAAATTATATTCTACCGTAATATATATAGTCTACTGTAACAAAAATTACAATAGATTTATCCAATAATTTAAAAATTAGCCCAGCCCTTAGTTTCAATAATCAATAGCTTAGGCGGAACTGACAATTGAGATGAAAAGCAAATAAGTGCTGGTAGGACTCGCGCTTTGAGGGTAGTCTATACCTAATTATGTACTCGTATGTAGATAGTTTATCTATCACGGGAATTAAAGATTAGGTAAGCACCCAACTTTGCTCTAACGAAAAGGTAAGTCGGATTGAAAACAAACAACTTTGCAGTGGAAAAAATGTTCTTCTGATCTGATCTAAAAAATGCTTAAATCTTATAAGAAAATGCTTAAGCAACTTAAGATTTGCTGATGACATAGTCTTATACTCAGAAAAAGCACCACATCTCAAAGCAATGATAAAGGAACATAACTCTCAATCACGCCATTGGCTTAGAATTAAACACAGATAAAAAATATGACCAACTACTTGGGCCCATTGAAGTGAACAACTTAACATTGGAGTATTTTTAAAAGTATGTGTATACCCTTACTTCATAAAGACTGGGATTTTCATTTAATTTCATTCATTAAATATTTGTCAAGAGGTCTTGTAATATAATAAAAGTAATATCACATTTAATATTTTTTCATGATTTTAATGTTTCTATTTCTATCCGTTATAACTTTTACAAATTTTTAAAGAAATTAATGATATGTTTTTTAAGAATAGTTAAGGAAATAACTGACTGGAAAACTCTAAATAAAGGAGAATAATAATATTTATAATTATTATTCAGAATAGTAACAGCATAATAATCCTTTAATTTTAACTGTTCTGAATATAAAAATAAAAGTAATAAATAACACACGAACAGGAAGAAAAAATCTCAAAAGTAAATAATCTGGCAAATATAATATAATATATATTACGAATAAGTACTCACTTTATTTCGGCAAATAATATACTTGTAGAAAAATTTGCAATTTTGTGTAAGTAGTTTTAAATTATGGATACGGCAAATACGGTTGGCGGCAAAGACTCGTTGATTCAGACTCAGGTGCCATACCTTGAAATCTTCGTAACATCATCAACTTGTTTAGTTTTGCCTCTATTCAAATATTTAAACTTGACATTGGAATGCCGCAAGTACTTGAGCTAGTTGCGAATAATAGGTTCACATGGTTGATTTTTGATTGAAATGATTAAACAAAATATATACATAATAACGATTATAATAATATATTAAATCTGTAGAAAAGTCGCGTCTGTAATTCAAATATTGCCTGGAAAAACCAAGTCCGGGGGCTAAGTAAAGGGTACTGAAGCCAAATTAGTGGTTTATTTGAATTTTTGTTAGTATGTCTATCTATATGTCTGTGTATTCGCGATTCACGCAAAAAGTACTGGACGGATTCCCATAAAGTTTTGTAAAGTAGGTAGTGACCCAGGGGTAGGGTTACCATATATCAGGATTTGTCCTGAGATATCAGGATTTTTGGACTCTTCTCATGGTTGCGGCTGGATTTTGGAAATCTCCTGAAATCTCAGGATTTTTAGAATTTTCAATACAAACTAAAAATAATCTTCCTTTGGTAATAATTGCACAATTAAAAATCAAATTTTATTTATCCAAGTAGGTACTTAAACAGTTGTATCATATTTAATATGTGAAGATATCTTTTTAAGTAAGGTTTTTTCTTTAAGTATTGATTTATAATATAATGCCCACATGTTAAACTCTTCAAATTATGTATATTGAATTAATAGTATAGCTCGAACTGAAGACACCGTGTGTCGGTTTCTTTCATTCGACCATTGAGCCCCCATAATAGAAAAAAAAATTCTACGTTTGCATTCTGGGCTGTAATTGCAAATATATCTTGACAAATAGGCATTATCTTTGGTAATCGTGAAATACTATTATTTTTTTGAAAACGGTTAAAGCATATATTTCATTTTTAATTGAGATTGATTGATGATGATTTACTTGAGTATGGTTAAAACAGTCCAATCTTCGCAATGGGGTGGAACTGAGTGAGTGTGCGACACTGCTTTCATAAGAACGATGCTCCTGCCTATAATGTTGACTTTTTTTTTAATTTTTAAGTACGTTGGAGAGAAATTTCTCAAACTGTAAAAAATCTCAGGATTTTTCACCTACTTTTTATCCGAAGGCGAGACTTAAAAAAAAGAGCGTTATTCCTTCATTTGAAGTTAATTTTCTATTATATGTGATTCTGTTACCTAATAGCGGGATAACGTAGTTTTTTCCAAACTAAATATCATATACCATATTATAAATAAAATTTAAATTTAAAATAAGTAATAATTTGAAACTACGCCAACGATATACGATGTACCTTTTTTAAACAGCGCTATCTATCAATGCAAAAAGTGGTATATTTTGGCTTCATTTACTAATAAATTCCCCAACATTATAATAATTTACATATATATATATTTACATCCCATGAACTTCATACTATCGGTAAAACATATGGGCAAAATATTGCCATGGACGTTATTTCATCATTGCAATGAATTTCGGCGAATATTTTAGTACAGCGACTTGCCGCACAACATTTGTACGAGTAGATTGCTACTTCTCAGCGTATATCGGCGCTGTGAATATTCCACTTTTTTCTCCATCTTTTACTCCGCGTATCTTGCTACCGTATATTCTAAAGATTTTTAAAGTTTTAATCAACTTAAATCAATGGTTTAACTACTTCCTCAAAGTGAGCTCCCGATATGGGCTGTACGGGGAAGTAAATATGAACGGGGGCAGGAGGCTCTTACGACTCGCGCTCGGGCACCTGGCGAATAATTTATTAGCTAATGGTCGCTGATCGGTCATTTGGAGGCCGTATGGAGCGGGCACTGCATAATCGTAAAAGTGAAGTGAGAATTTTGAGATAGTCTTGTTTTTTCTTAACATTTATTTTAATTTTAGATTTACTGATTGTACTGATTTTATTAAAAAAAAAAACAAAAACAATATTTGATTAATAAGGTACGTGAGGGTAATATGGTCACCTTAAGCTTTGCCGCCTTATAAAACCAAAACTAGGAGGAGGACAGAGACAAATACACAATGTCGTAAACTATAACTAATATAGAAAAAAAAATAACAAACAAGCCTTGGCAATAATTAGCAACACTTCAAAAAATCAACTTAAAAAGAAACTAACTATAGTACGCGAGGGTAATATGGTCATCCAGTTCATATGGTCACTTTCTTATAACTCAAAAACTACAGCGTCGTTTGCGTAGAACACTCTGTGATATGCTATCTCTTGATCAGTCTATCAAATAATAAAGGGTCAAAAAGGCGCTCCTTTATCGAAGCTATTTTGAAAGTTGATATTATTGTAAATATTTTAGTCGATTTATGTATTGTGTAGTGTAGTAAGTTATTTTTAAGTAGATTTTTCGAAGTGCTCCTAATTATTTCCAAAGCTTGTTTGCTATTTTTTTTCTTAATATATTAGTTATAGTATACGACTTTGTGTTTTTGTCTCTGTTCTCCTCCTGATTTTGGTTTTATAGGGCGACAAAGCTTAAGGTGACCATATTACCCTCACGTACTTACTATAATATCAACTGTTAAAGCAGCGGCCTTTTGACCCTTTATTATTTGAATGACTGATGAAGAGCTATCGTATCGCAAAGCCATCTATGCAAATTAGGCTGTAAGGCTGTAAGTTTTGGAGTTATAAGAAAGTGACCATATTAACCAGATGACCATATTAACCTCACGTACTTTATTATTTTTATTTATTTTGATCAATATGCGTTATCACACATGAGAAGGTTCCTAGAAGAACAAAAATTTATCTAATTTATAGAAAACATTTATCTTGCAACTCCTCAAACTCCTCCTCAGATTCAAGCTACCTAAAATCTTGATGAAATAGAGAAATAGCTTGTATGTAACCAAGGTAGGCCCAAGTTCGAAAATTGGGAGCAGGGAGACGTGCAGAGAGCCAAGCTTAAAAGCGTTTTTAAAAGTGGTAGAGCCACGCGGCAGCTTTTGCTGTAGCACGAATGGGCCGACTTGCACCGGGGTGGTACATGACCTTATAGACTACCGGCGTGAAGTAGAAGTTTACTTCTGCATTTTACCTGGTAAGTACAAGTGGATGGAGGCCCGATTCCCACACCCCCCTTAACATGGTAGCGGAGTTAAATAAAACACTACCCCAGGAGGGTACCAGCACCTTTGGTGACGGAGATCCTTCGCTGAGCATCCACAGTTTTCAACGCTTCGGCAGTCTTGAAGGTATGGACCTGTCTATCCTATGGCTGCGCGTATACCGCGACAAACATCTCCGCGTCTACGGGTACCTCTATAGGTTCCATATAAGTAATGCCTACACAGACCGACTCATCGACCACGTCCAAATGCTGCAGACTCCGTGATACAGCAAGTCTCATCTGGAGAGATCTTGATCCTGGGTAATTTTAACGCTCACCACTTGATTGGTTCCCGTTTAACCGATCATAGATGTGTTTATGACTTTACCTTGATGTATGGTCTCACACATCTGGTTACTTCGCCTACGCGGATCCCATATGTGGAGGATCATGCACCTTCCTTGTTACACCTTCTGCCGACCTTCATCCGGACGGATATCGGTGTCCGTCGATGCTCCTCTTGGCTCTTCGGACCATTGTCTAATCTGGAGGACGGTGCCACTCACGCTACCTCGCGGTTGCGTTTTGCGGGTTGCCGCTGTGTTAAGCACTATAGTTTGGCCGATTGGGACAGAATGCGGTATTTTTTTGCATCCTACCCTTGGGTTTAGGTATGCTTTTGGCCGGATGATCCCAACGTTGTTGCTAATTCTGTCATTGGTGTGGTACTTCACGGAATGGAACTTTTTATTCCATCATCTGTGGTGCCTATCAGAAGCAGGCAGAACTCGGCCATGGCTTGGTCACTCCTGTAAAATTGCATTTGGTGTGATGCAATTTTATAGAAATGACTTTTGCTGCATATGCAAGAGTGCTACTGGGCCTGGGGTGACGCATCAACGTCTCTAGATGCAAACACAAGCGTTCTTAAAAAGAAGTATAATTCCGCCTCCAAGTCCTTCAAAAGTGTCATTGGCAAATTAAAGTCAGAGCGCATCGGCAGTATTGGCGAGAAACTAGTTCGACTTCCTTCAGGAACACGTGCATTTTGGTCTCTCGCCAAGGCCGTCCAAGGGAACTTCTGTTATCCTTCTCTACCATCACTGCACAAGGAAGACGACTCACTGGCCCATACTGCAAAGGAGAAAGCCAATCCGCCAAGCTCTCTCTTTGCGTCCAACTCGAATCTCGATGACGGGGGGAAACACGACGCCGATCATCCCGCGATGTGAGTGCTCTATGCACGATGTGCTGTTTCCACTGCGCTCGGTGCGCAAAGCACTCTTCTCCTTGAACCATCACAAATCGAGTGGGCCTGATAGAGTCACTCCTGTTGTGCTGAAGACGTGTGCTTCGGAGTTGGAACCGATTTTAACGCGTCTTTTCCGTTACTTCAACTACCTAGGCTTCGTACTGAATTCATGGAAGATAGCTTTGGTCCACCCGATCCCTAAAAAAAGCGGCCGCTCAAACCCGTCTAACTGCAGGCCCATCGCCATCATCTCCTTGTTCTCCAAAATAATGGAATCCATTATAACCTGCCAGCTTATGAGATATCTTGAGGTTTCAGCTGGTGATCTTCTGGTCTACCTGACTCACAGATGGGCGGAGGCAGTAGAGTTCAAGTGGGAGGCATTGATCGTTAGTTTGGACATTGCGAAGGCCTTTAATCGGGTTTAGCACACAGCGCTTCTTTAGAAGCTCCCTTTCTATGGGATTCACGAGAAATTGTGCAATTGGATCACCAGCTTTCTTGTAGATCAGAGCATCAATGTCGTAGTAGACGGTGCATGTTCCGATTACAACGGTGACACTGAAAGTTCTTAGAAAATTAAAAACTGAATAAACTAGCAAGTTCTTAGTTTTATTATATCTTTTCAAAATAGTGTCCATTTATATCAATACATCGCATCCGATG